TTCCTGTTTTTTCAATTTCCTGGAAAAGCTTGAGGAGAACTGGCAAAAGGTCTTCTTTAAATGTTTGGAAGAATTCACTAGTGAATCCATCTGGGCCTGGGCTTTTGTTTTTGGGAAGACTTTTGATTACCACTTCAATTTCCTTGATATGAATGGGTCTATTCAGGTATCCCAAATCTTCCTGGTTCAATCTTGGGAGATTATAGGAATAATTGTGCGTATTGTTGTACATATCCCTTGATAAATAGAAAATGGCCTTCGCTGTTCCTTCTAATCTTTTTCAACCTGAAATTTATGTTGTTGGATACTAATATGGCCACCCCAGCTTTTTTGATGGAGCTGTTTGCTTGCAGAATTGTTTTCCATCCTTTAACTTTGAGTCTGTGTTTTCTCTGATTGTTCAGATGTGTTTCTTGTAGACAGCAGAATGTTGGCTTCAGTTTCTGGATCTATTTTGTCACACTGTGTCTCTTGATTGGTGCATTTAGACTATTGACATTGAGAGAGATTACTGTCATGGGGTTTTGTGCCATCTTTCTGTAGGGGTTGTTTGTATTAATAAATGTTTTCCTTCTTATCTTTACAGAGGCCCCTTTAATCCTTCTTTTAGATTTGGTTTTGCGTCTATGAAGTTCCTGAGCTGTTGTTTATCTACAAATTGGTGTACAGTTCCATTGAGTTTGAGTGAGAGTTTACCTAGATAAAGTATTCTTGGTGAGGCATTCATTTCATTGAGTTTTTTCACTATATCCCACCACTGTCTTCAGGCTTGGAGGGTTTCCTCTGATAGGTCTGCTGTAAATCTAAGGGGTGCTCCTTTGTATGTGATTTCCTTCTTTGACCTTGCTGCTTACAGAATTGTATCTCTGTCCACAGCATCTATCATTCTGACTATGATTTGCCTTGGAGTGTTTTAATTCGGGTCTCTTTTAGCTGGCACTCTTCTGGCTCCTTGGATCTGGATGTCTACATTCTTTAACTCTGGGAACTTTTCAGCAATGATTTCTTTGACTGTGGCTTTTTCATTGGGGTTGCCTCCCTGTCCTTCTGGCACTCCAATGATTCTAATGTTGTTCCTCTTGGCATCATCCCCTAGGTCTCTGATTCTCCTTAGAGATATTTTGAGGTCTTTTCCCATTGTTCGTTGTTCCCTATGCGACTATTGCTCATCTTCAAGCTCACTGATCCTGTCTTCAGTTGTATTCATCCTACTGCTGAGGGCACCTACTGAGTTTTTAATTTTGTCTAACGAATCCTTTATTTGTGACACTTCTTTTTGTAGCTTTTTTATTTCTGCTCTCATTTCTTCCTGTATTTTCTTGACTATCCATTCTATTGTTTCTTTCATTTCTTCCTTTAGTTTTCTGGATGTCTCCTCCATTGATTCTTTGAGTAGTTCCTTGACCATCCTCTGCATTTCATCTCAAAATTCTTTATCAGAGAGAGCATATTTGTGGATAACCCTGGTTGAGGATTTGAGACTCTTTTCTTCGTCCTCTCCTTATAGTGGAGATTTGCGCTATTTCTTCATTTTGTTTTGGTTGTCTAGTGGTCAAATCCTGGAATTCACTAGCACTGTTCCCTCTTATTGTGGGAAAGGATTCTGGATAAGTCGGTCAATGGTGGTCACCCTTCTCCCTTTCTAGAGTCTAACCTTCCTCTCAGGCATTATTCTTTGGCTTATGATGGGCATCTGGTGAAGCTTTGAGGGAGGCACTCTTTTAATATTGGGCTTGTACAGCTTCTTGCATACTGGTCTTTTGTTAAAATTGGAGTAGGCCAGTGGATAATTGTTGTAGTTGAGGTGGCCAGGAATTTTTCCACAGAATTAGGTGATAAAGGCTGGGATGAAAGTTCAAGAGTGGTGGGAGTGGGAAATGTAACTGCGGCCGATGTTGGGGGGGGGGGCACGCCAAGCGGGAACAGACCTGTTGAGAAGGGGCAGTGACTAGTTGGGCTGGTGCTTACTGCAGAAGTGGAGGCAGTTGCCCCAGGCCGGGGTCCCGGCAGTGGCTGGCTTTTTGGGTCCAGTGCAGTGCTATTTTTATGAGTCATGAAACATTGTTTTTTAACAACTGGATAAAAAAATGTCAAAAATAGTGTCAGAGGCTAAGACCAATAGTATAGTGGGTAGAGCACTTGCCTTGCATGCAACTGACCTGGGTTTGATCCCCAGAACCTCATATGGTTCCCCCAAGCATGATCCCTCAGCACAGATTCAGGAATAAGCCCAGAACAACACCAAGCGTAGCCCCAAAACAACAAAAAAACAAAAAAATAGGACTAGAGAGATCAGTTGTCTGGAGTGGAAGCTTGAACTTTAGGAGCCCAATGCTTCATCCCTGGCATGACATGGTTGTCAAACTCCACCAGAAGCAATCCCTAAGTAGAACTGGAAGTAGTCTCCGAGCATCACTGGGTCTGTAAAAAGACCCACCCTTCACTGATGCTTTTTTAAAAACCCATTTTGCTAGTTTTTGTGTTAGACTCTTCATGGTCAAAGAACATAAAGTGGAGATAGGAAAGTCTCTTCAACATATGTTAAAGAATGAAAACATACTAAAGAATAAAACAGGACCACAATCTCACATCATACACATCATTAATTCAAAATGGATTAAAGACTTAGATGTTAGAACAAAATCTGTAAAATACATTGAATAAAACAGGCAAAACAATCCATGATAATTGATTTAGTTGTGTCCTCAGCGATTCTACTCCATTGGCAAGGAAAAATAAAAGTAAAAATAAACAAATGAGACTCCATCAAACTAAAATGTTTATGCACCTGGGGAAAAAATACAGGGAAGAAGAGACAGTTCAGCAGTTAAAGCTTGCCTTGCATGCAGGCAACCCAGTTCAATCCCCAACATCCCACATGGTCCCCCAAGTCCCAACAGGAGTGACCCATGAGCTCAGCCAGAACTAAGACCTGAGCACCTCCAGGTGTGGCCCCAAAATAATAACTAAAACACTATTGCTAAAATAAGATATTCATACCATATATATGACCAAAAAAAATTTTTTTTTCAGGCCAGAGTGATAGCACAGCGGGTAGGGCATTTTCCTTGCATGTGGCCAGCCCAGGTTCGATCCCTGGCATCCCAAATGGTCCCCCAGCACTGCCAGGAGTAATTCCTGAGTAAAGAGCCAGGAGTAACCCCTGAGCATTGCTGGGTGTGACCCAAAAAACAAAAAAAGGGACAATTTTTTCCCATCAATATATGGGGAGAGGACTTAACAGACACTTGTCCATAAAAGACACAACAGATTGCCAGTAGTCACATTTGAAATATGCTCATCATCAAGGAAATGCAAACTTTCTCACTCTAGTGAAAATGGCATCTATCAAAGAAGCAGAACAAGTTGGGTTGGGATTTGGCTTAATGACAGGGTGCTTGCTTGCATGTAGAAGGCCCTGGGTTCAAATCGTGGCAGTTCATGTTTGCCCAAGCACTGAGCCAGCAAGAGCATCCAAGCACTACAGGTATGAGGCAAAAACCAAAAGAAAAATAAAAAAGAAGTGCTGGTAGGGATGTTGTGGAAAAGGAACCCTCATTATTCTTGTGGGAACGTAAACTGATTCACTTTCGATGGAAAACAGTACAGAGATTTCTCAAAAAATAAAAAAATAAAAATAAAACTACCATATGATCCAGCAATTTCACTCCAAGGTATCTATCTCAAGAACACAAAAACACTAATACATAAAGATATATGCATACTTATGTTCCCTGCGGCGCTATTTACAATAAGCCAAGATCTGGAAACAACCTAAATTCCCAACAACAGATGAGCAGAGAAAGGAGGTGTGGATACTCCATACAATGGAAAAAGTACTCAGCTGTGAGAAAAGAGGAAGTAGCATTTTACTATCTCAGAAATGGAACTAGATATTGTCAAGTCAAGTAGCGGAAGAGATTGTTCAGCAAGTAAGGTGCTTGCCTCAATTCAATCACTGGCACCTCATATAGGTGCCCCAAAACACTGCCAGGAGTGATTCCTGAGCACAGAGCCAGAAGTAAGCCCTGAGCATAGCTGGGTGTGATGCTCAAACACACCCCTCCCCAAAAAAGTTCTTTAAAAAGTCAAGCAAAGTAAGTTCAAATGTGAAAGACAAGTGAACTCACTCACCACTGGTATATAAAGAAACAAAGTAAGGAAAAAACCAAAGAACACAAGTCCTTAGACTCTGATTGCAGAACTAAGATTAACAAGGGGTAAAGGGTATAGACAAGAAGGGTCCTATAGAAAGTGATGGGGGAGATAGTGATAGTTTGGAGGTGCATGGCTGATATCCACATTGCCCTTTCAAAATGCACAATTCCAGCAGCTGCTGCAACCCCATGTCCAAACCTCCTCCTACCTCATATAGGAAAGAGCCAGCAAAAAAAAACCTTGGTAATTCATGGCAAAGAACAGAAAATTAGAGACAATGAATTATCCAAATCAAATCATCTAAACTGGTTATTAAAAAATAAGGCAACCTCTACAGTGGAGAACTTTTATATTCTAAGAAAGCCTGCTTTAATATGGACTAACAAGAGGAAAACTTAGTCTGAATTAAAGACTTTAAAATGCAATTTTATTGTTCACCAAGGAAGTATTACTGCAAAGCAGAAGGCCTAACAGGCCTGTTTTAATGAATAGATGACTCATCTGTAATCAGTGCATTAATTGTTGGGATTCAAATGGGTGCTCTTAAAGTACTGGGAAAAACAGCTTCCTTTTTAAAGCAGGTTAAGCATTCCCCCTGCAGCCTTTTTTAAAGTATAATTTGCTTTGAAAACTATTTCTTTCCAAAGAATATAGAAGCAAACTCCCATAAAACCCTGACAGATTTATCACAAATTCTAGGCTATTGCATTTTAGTTTTGTTTTTTAAGTCACACGAATTTGGGTAAGGAACACTGCACTGTCACTACTTTAGTTTTTTGTTTTTTCTTTTAAATAATCAATGCTGTTGCATGACTTCCCAGTCCCTAGGGTCGACACTGTACCTTTTGCTTTTTCTTGACACTTTCAAATTACTTTGGGGTGTGTCCTCATCTTGAAGCTTTGCTTCTCTTGCCCCAGTCTGGAGATTCATTCGCACATGGCACCCTGCAGGAACGGCCTGACCTAAAAGTCAAGAAGAGAGAAGGTTCAGGGAATATAAGGGCCATCTACCCTGAGGTGCTAAGTAACAGGCTAACAAGCCAGGAGAACTCTGTATTTCATGAAGACAAGACACTGCTGTCTGGGTACCTAAGCCCATCTCCCTAATACACAAACCACTCTGACTGCTAATCTGCATGGAACTAAAGAAGGGAAGGTGAGCAAGGCTATCTGCACTTCAACCTAGGAATCAAAGGCCCCCAGAAACTATTGTGCTTTCTTTACAACTAAGCTGTCAGAGACCTCTTTAGAATGTATAGGTAAATGATGAGGACCTACTCACGCTTCAGGGCATGTTTACACTAGTTCCTCCTCTATGATACCTTCCTGGCTCTCCCTGAAGTCCCACCAAACTGCAGACAACCTCCCATGCCAGCATTCCTCCCATTCCACCGAACCCCCCCTCATCTATTTAAGGCAGGCTCCTAGGAGTCTCTCTCATCCCCAAGTACAGGGATGTTTCTTCTCCATATTTCCTTAGCCACTAGGCCAGAGATTACCACCTAAAATCCATGTTGTTTAATGTTTATAAGAAGGGAAAAGAAGGAAAATGGAAGAATGAGAAGGCAGCAAACCATAGTTGCATGGATTAAATCCGAGAGTAACTAAAACCTACTCCCCTATCTATCTCAGAAAAGCTGATCCACTAACCAGTAAAACAAGAGTTGTGAATGGATGGGTTATCTACACACTTTGTACAACTACCCAAGGACAGTTACAAAGCAAGTGTGCAAGACCAAATGCCACAAATGGAATGTGACACTCATTTATTCAGACATGCACTAGTATTTACCCAGTCACATTGGTACCCGGCCACTGTGGGAGGCTCTAGGAATACAAAGAGAAATGTTAATGGTCACAGGACTGAGAGTTTCAGATGGGGCTCCTCAGCAAACTGGAAACGGAGAAGCAGAGATGCAGCTCTGACACCTGAACTCTGACTCGCTTTCTTCTGCCAGGGGATGCCTCACCTTGTTGATGCTAAATCTAAAGAATCCAAAAAAAAGTGCCAATCTGAAAAAAAAAAAAAACGCCTTTGAGGGAAGTCTATGGACAGGAGAATAATTAGTAAACTTGGAATAAAAATGGGTGATTAGGGAGGGGGCCGAGTGACAGTATAGCAGGGGAGGCATTTGCTTTCCACGTGGCCACCCCCAATCCAATCCCCAGCATTCTATACAGTCCCCCAAGCACTGCAAAGAATAATTTCTAAGTGCAGAGCCAGAGTAACCGCTGAACATTACTAAGTGTAATCCAAAAAACAAAGCAAAACCAAAAAAAAAAAATTAATTACAAAGCTCTCAGTTCCAGCAGGACCACAGTGAACTCCAAGTTCCAACAACAACTGCGCATTCCACCAGAGACCCAAGCAGCCGGGGAAGCACAGTGCCAGGCAAGGCCGCTTTCTTATACCAGTTTAGCAAGGTGCTTAAATACATGAGTGTACATAAACGTATACTGATTTAGGCATATAATAGACACACTTTCTAACCTCAAACCTATCCCAATTGTGAAAAGGGGAATAATATATATATATAGAGAGAGAGAGAGAGAGAAAGAGAGAGAGAGAGAGAGAGAGAGTAGAATGGGGAAACCTTTGGAAGGAGGTTCCTGAGCAGATTAATTTTGGGATTAAATAAAGTGAAAAGCAAAACCCAGACTGGGGAAAACAGGAATCCCTGCTGGCCCAGGTTCAGACCTGGGAAGTTGACAAGCTCCATTCAGGGAGTGAGGAGCAGAAAGGCCACAGAACTGGCAGGGCTGCTGGGCTGCTGGGGGGACAGCCAGACTGGGATAGGAAAACAGCAGAAGGCTGTTTTGGTCCTCAGAGGAGATGAGATAAAATACTTGTGATAACAGAATACTGGTTTTCCTGTGCCAATAATGATGGGGTAAGGGATAAATTCTTTAGTATGAATTTCATCTCTGACCCTTTTAGAGGATGAGGCTAGTTTATCTAGAGAGATCTAAAATTGATATAACAACAGAGATCTCACTGACTGCAAACAGGGCATCCTGGATATTCCTAACACTATACCAGTCCCAGAACCAATCTATCTGTAAAACCTGATGATTGTGAGACCAGAGCAATAGCACAGCAGGTAGTGTGCTTACCTTGCATGTGGCCAATCCAGGTTTGCTCCCTAGCACCCCAGATGGTCCCGCAAGCACCCCCAGTAGTAATTCCTGAGTACAAAACTAGGAGTAACCCCTGAGCAGCACTGGGTGTGACCCAAAATTAACCCCCCCCCAAAAAAAATAAAACCCACCCCGGTGATTGTTCCTAGATTCAGACACTTCTCCTGTCCTCCACATCACTATTCCTGTCCGGACCTACACCAGCTCATCCTTGAGCATTTGCCAGTCTTCCAACTGGCCTCCCAGCTATGCTTACTTTCCAACCCAATTGAAGGACTCATTTTAACACACACCTAACTGCCGTCCTCCTGCTTCAAACCTTCATTGGTTTCTTACTATTCTTTGAAGATGAAAATCCTCACGTTGTCCCTGATCCTTTTGTACCAGCCCCTACACACCCACCTCTTGAGTCCTCAGGTCTAGTCCCCCCTTTCCTATGCTGGGGCAATAGCAGACTTTTCCCATGCACGAGAAAAACAGGGTCCATCCTACCAGGAGCTATTCCCATTGTCCAGGACTTTTTGTCAGAGGCCCTTCCTGAGAGGCATACTCTCCCCACACCAAATCCACCCCCACCCCCAAAAGCCCCCACGACACCAAGAACCTTTTCCTTTTCCAACACAACCAGGACTTACAGCTCACTTTTTTTTTTAATCATTGAGCTTGTTAATGTAAATGCTCACTATTTTACCCCCAGGACTTACCACATGGTCTAGTCTATAGGAAACCTTCAAGAAATCATTTACTGAGTGATGATTTTTAATAAGCCAGAGAGAAAAATCCTAGCTTGTCTAGAAGTGTATAGAAAAGTTAACTAGGATTTTTAACCTTTTGGTCAAAGTTAGAAATAAAAAGGAAAAAAAGTGACTTTGAAAGTTTTAGAATATAAAACATTGTATCATGCCAAGATGTAGGACACGGAAAAGACTAGGATTTTATGTGAATCAATTTATTTGGGGAAAATTCCAAAATTACTCCCTTCACATAAGCCACCACAGGGGGCAAGAGCAAGCACAATAGCATTAACTTAAAATACAGGTTACGCACATTTAAAACACAGGAAAACCAGCCAAGGCAGGAGCAGTGGCAGAGGGGGCCAGAAAATGCATAAGATTCAGATGTTTCCACCACACTGGAGAAAGGCCAAGTTCGCAAGAGATCAGACCTGCATCCTTCCAGGGCTTCTGTGAAGGATAACAAGGGACCAGAGGGCTGAGGCAGAACAGGGGCCCAAAGTCAAGGATAAATGCAGGGAAGACTTAGAAATTAAAGAGAAGTGGACATGGAAGAAAAACTTAAAAATTATACAAAAACCCTTTGTCCACAATCAATCGCACACCATCAGGGAGACCCAGTCACAACAATTTTCCTAACAGAAAGTTTTGTCCTTAGCTCTTTCTTACTCATCAACTGAAATTTCACTACAAGGAAAAGCTGTCACTTCCCCAGTGATTTATTTATGTTTCCTAGCCACGTCCAGCACTGCTCAGGGCTGACTCATGGCTCTGTGCTCAGGGACCACTCCTGTAAGGACTCAAGAAACCAAATGTGATATGGGGATTGAACCCAGATCAGCTGTGTGCAAACCAAATGTCAAACTCACTGTACTATTACTCCAGGCCCTGACACCACTTACTCATTTATGAGTATTTTCCCATGGATATTTTATTCCATGTATCATTATTTCTTTTGTTGTTCAAATGGTCTTAGCTTTGAGCACCCTCCTCCAGACTGGCTCTCAAGTTCCTCTAACAACTGCCTTCCCCATCACTTTCTTTTGTCAGGATTTCCTTCCTTCCAGGTCTCATATGTTCCCAGTTTATCTTGTATTTTCTTTCCCACAATCCTGGAATCTGTGACTCCTCTCAAGGAAGCCTACTTTATCAAAATCATGCTCTGGGTTCTACACTTAAAGGTATTATTGCTTCTAGGCTCTGTCTATGACAAAGAAATGTATATGTGTGGTTACATACATACACATTTCTGTCTTCATCTATGTGCCCATATACCAATGACAACAGACAAGCTCTGGGCTTGGGGTTGGCTTTGGGGTAGGCCGCCTACTTGGCCCAAGGAGTCAGTCACCAGAAAACCCCAAATGCTGAGAGGGATCCAGCAGGCACAACCAAGCATTGAGTACCCCTCCAAACATGTTTACTGTTCCAGAGGGCAACGCAAACTAAGCTGTGCAGGAACATATATGAGAGCTACAAGCACTGTAGTGAGCTGTGTGGAACCTCAACCATCAAGATGACACAAAACAATGGGAAAGGAAGAGGGCATTTTTTAAAATACTCCAAACAAAACAAAAATAAGCTTATCCTGATATCTCAGATTCCAACTTAACAACACAATGCTTGTTTTCTTCCTTTCCTTATTTCAGTTCTAAAATACACATAAAACAGTTTCAAAAATACCAAACAGGATCAGAAGGAATGAGTCCAAATGCATGCCCAGCAAACATCACTGGTGGGGTCCTTGTGTTCCCCAGAAATGCGGGTCCCAGTAGTACCACATCACAGAACTCAAGCCAACCACCAGATCCATGCAGCTTGGTCAAGTATAGCCCGCAGAGGCCGATCTCTGACAGGTTCCAAAAGTAAAAAAATAAATAAATAAAATAATTGTTAACCACACCCCTATAAGGAAAAAACTAGACCACAATATTTATGTACAGTTCTTTTGTCTTTAATTTTACAGGATCTTGTCCAGATAGGTTTTGCAGTCACACTGGTTAGCTCTTTTCTTCCCTACCCACTTCAGAAGGACTGTTACTAATTTGTAATACTTGATTCGTTAGTGTCATCTGTTCTATTTTGTGGTTC